AACCTGCAGTGTAAAACTCTAGAGCTATGTTCTATATGGAGCTGATTCAATCAATAATCTATAATCAATAAACAGTGTAAATAAACTCTAGAGCTATGTTCTATATGGAGCTGATTCAATCAATAATCTATAATCAATAAACAGTGGTATAACCAACCTGCAGTGTATAAACTCTAGAGCTATGTTCTATATGGAGCTGATTCAATCAATAATCTATAATCAATAAACAGTGTAAATAAACTCTAGAGCTATGTTCTATATGGGAGCTGATTCAATCAATAATCTATAATCAATAAACAGTGGATAGCTCTAGAGTTTATACACTGCAGTTTGTCAAATTCTAAAGCTGTTATGATACATTTCTTTGATCAATAATCTGTATTTCTGTCACTACACAGACAGTTAGCTTACTCAGCAGATTCTTAAATCTGGAATAGAAGACGCTGTAGAACTCCAGATGGGACTTTCTCCTGTGATACTAAACTTTTATCATCAGTCAAACAGGAAAACAAGCTTCAACCAGAAAATAAAGTCATTTTTAAATCTTCAGCGTCCATTTTATGGTAAAAAAAAAAAAAAAGTATTTAATGTATCTAAAATGATGTTGTCTTGAAGTTGGTAAACTTAAAAGTTCCCTGTTGTACAATTAAACTCCCGGTTATCTGGAGCATGTTGAGCTGTAAAACAGACGTCAGCTTTTCTCGTTTTGGATCAAAACTTGAAGAAAATTGAAGTCTGAGTTTGCACATTTGTTCATTGTTGAATTTTATGACTCAAATAATTTTTAAGGTCTGATCCTGAAGCAGCAGCACTGTAGAGGAGCGTCACTGTGCTTTATACTGTTCAGCTCCACACACACTCACACATCCAGGAGCTTGGCTGTCACTCAAAACAAGTGTTGCAGAAAGGGCGTCAATCATAACTGGAGGTCACTTTGAGGCCACGCCTCTGTATCAGAGTGAGACCTCCCATTTATGACGAGCCGTAAGTCTGCTGACATTGACTCGGATGATTTTTATGACCTTAAAGCCTATAGGAAATCAAGTTAGTGCTCCACTCGCAGCATCGCTCCTGACAATATGTGTTTAAGTCTGCGGACGCACGATCAATGAATGTCGACATGACGGGAGAGTCAAAGACGAGGCGGGAGACAGCAGAGAGAGAGAGAGAG